ACTGCAGGGCCAACACCCTCTTCTCCACCACTACGCATTCAACATCGTCAGTCTGGATTATGATGTCCTTATTCAGCACCCTGATTGCATAAAGCATATTAAATTCATGGTATTTTTCCTACCTGTTCATTATACGTTAGAATGTAGTCGCACTCAAATAAGAGGGGATGTACTTGTCAGTTGATTACACGTGGCAGATTGGGTCCCCAATGTTCAAACTAAAGTGAACTCATTGTCGTAAGCACTTGCCATGAACCACGCATTTTGACGAGGTGTTGCTGCTTTGGAGTGAGCGGCTGCCCCCACTTACATAATGAAACTGGTCCATTCAAATTAATAATTAGTGTCTACAGGCCTCTCGCAAGGTGGTGCTGAGAGTAGCCAAATTGTGGGCAGTAGAGTGCGGAGTAAATCCTCAATGTCGTTGCTGCATGGGGGAACACGAATGCATGAAGATGTTATCATGCGTTGGACACAACTTTTGGCACTAGGGTTTCGTGAGCATGCCTTGCCATGGCAGATGCATTACAGTTTGGACTTGCTTATAGCAATCTTCTAAATACCAGTGACATTTGACAACTTGTTCATCAAGAAAGCGTACACCTTGTGAAGTTGTTTATTACTCGTTGTGATGCCCAAACATTTGCGGTTTGAGCAGTTGCTCTGAAATAACTTTAAGGTCATTTTAAATAGAATTATACTGAATGATGTTAAATCTCTGATGCGTGTTATGCAAAATGGCATAAGAAAAGAAATTCAGCATTTTAATATTTTTGGTACATCAGATCGCCACCGATAATGAACAACATGATGAAGAATAATCTTTCTATCAAGAGAACTAGCGAAGTACCACAAAATGCGTATTTTCATCTTTGTAAACCAAACAATCATTTTACGGTAAAGATGGTCAGAAACGTACCCAAGTCATTTATTAATGACCGAATATTGCAGCCAAACCTCCTCATTTCCAGATGGAATCAAGTTACCGAAACGCCTTCTAACGTAAATTGTTTTGCCCATGAACAACAGTAAAACTCATGCTCAGCCACTCGCATCTCTAGGCCTAAAAAACGAAGGACCTGAAACGTCGTTTTTCTTTCCTCTACCTTACCCTTTTTAAGAA